TGAATTTCAATCAGAAATAAGGTCGAATTTGATAAAACATACTAAGTGGAATGCATAAGGAAAGAATCCAAAGGTCCCAAACTTGTGTCTTTCACTAGTCCTAACACTACCTTGGTCAGAAAACACCGTAAAACACAGTGTTGTGTAGCGTTTTTCATACTCAATTCACATCTCCACCAACGAACGCTCTCTAAATGCTCATTTGAACTTGAACAGGATTTATTTGGGACTCAATGCGGACATATTTGGTCAGAATCCTAATGGTACTCAAATTTGAGATTGCGAGTTTAAATAGAGTTCCTTTCCCAATATATACTTGCAATTCAATATGAGCTTTAACAGGATTTGATAAGGAAAGAGCCCATATTCTCTAGACAAGTCTTCTTTGCAAAAGGCGAGTCCAGGCCCGAGTGAAACCCATTGAGACCGAATGAAATTTCAGTTGAGCCTGGGTTCAAGATTCCCTGGAAAAGTTTGACCTGCGATCTTGAATGTGGGCCTAGATTGAAACAGATTGAATGAATAATCAGGACTTGGATGCTTGCACAACACTGTGCGAAAGTACAGCCGCGCAAAGTGCTATGTTGAATTTGGGTCTCGATTTAAACCGATTTAAATTGATTTAAATTTAAATCGAGCATGGATTCAAGATTCAAGAATCCAGGCCAAACTTTTCCATGAATCCAGGCGTCGATGTAATCCAATTCAAACCGATTTAACTTAAATCGGGCATGGATTCAAGATTCAAGATTCAAGCATCCAGGCCAAACTGTTCCAGGGAGTCTTGAATCTTGAACCCATGCCCGATTTAAGTTAAATCGGTTTAAACCGGTTAAATCGACGCCTGGGTTCAAGAATCCCTGGAAAAGTTTGGTCTGGTTTCTTGAATGTTGAATCTTGAATCCATGCCCGATTTAAATTAAATCGGTTTAAATCGGTTTCAATCAAGCCTGAAGCTTCCAGAACGTCCTTGGAAATGCTTCTTTTTCATTGCTCTCCCCAAAGCCCAAAAAAGGGTAGAAAACACTGCAAATACCAGTGAATTCATCAAAGAGGTAGGTCCGTGGGCGGGGGTACCATATATATATATATGTATATATGTTGTTTTTTCTTTCCAACAATCATGGAGGTTGAGAGGAGGGTTTGGGTTTACTACCATCCTTTTCAAATCTTGGTGGGGCCCCTTGTCCAAGGGTGCCCAGACCCCTCCTGCGGTGCCTTTTCATTCTTATTTGTTTGAGGGTTCCCTTCAACATAAAACCAAGCAAACACTTGGAGCGCCGTTCTTTTTTTTTTCAAATGGCCACTGACCTTTTTGGGGGTTCAGGCAACGTGTTCTTTGCCGCCGGCATGGTGATGAACGTGATTTTGGGCCCTGCCTTCGACGTGTCTGGCTATGCCTTCGCCCCGGCAGCGGTCATCGCGCCTTTCACGGGTTCCTCAAGCTGAAAAAGTGCCACGCGCGTTCTAGGGGACACTTTCCCCTTCTTTCCAGGGATCCTTTTGATCAGAAAACCACGAGAACCCCGGGGGAAGCAGCTGGTTTTTGACAAGAACGATGGTGAAAAAAGACTGGGGAATCAACCCCTAGACTCTTGGCTTACATCGGCTTGGCTGAATCCTGGGTGTGTCTTTTTGGGGGACCCCTAACATGACGACATGATTTGCGGTTTCCTTGTGGCTTCCCTTTAAACCCACCAGGAAGGGGCCACCTCAAAAAGTCACTCCCACCACAAGAGGGGTCGCCTTCAGAACCAGGTTATATTTTTTGGGTTGGCTAAATATGAAGCAGAATCAGAAAACCGTTTTGTTGTGCACGCCGGGGCCAAGAACAGGGATAGATAAATCGTCGATTTGGTCAGACCCCTCAAAATGAGGGCGAGAAAGTTGCGAGCCTAGTGGGAGGAGGGGAGTTCGCAGTTTTTCCTTGTTTGCTTTGAGAGCCCGAAGTGATGAATGCCCAGGTTTCCTTCTTCGGGACTGTCTCAGCATTGTGGGACCCCTCACGGCATTTGGTTTCCCTAAACTATCGCCCTTTTGGCACCCCTCCCGTTTATTTTTTGTTCAAGATGAAGCGTAAAGCATCCACCGGGCATATTGGTTTGGCTTATTTCTTAGTTTGATGCCAGATTCCAGGTTTTCCGGATATTCTTGGTGTCCAGTAGGTGTTGTCTTGGGTTCAAAAAATAGTATGTATACATATATATATATATACTTTGCATTTTGCCTGGATGTTAGGACTAGAGCTTTTTGCCAACTAATGGGGTTTCCGTTACACCACTAAAAGTTAGTCACTTTTAGCAGGGGAGCAGAAAGCAACCGAGTAAATATATATATATATATATATATGTTTTTGCAAACATATTCATTCACAGACTTGTTTCAGGTGTTCCTGGTGAATTGCTTAATACCAGGATGCATGCACCGTGTTTTTGTTTTTCCTTTTGTACTTCAGGCTTTCTTTTGAAAATGGGATATACATATATATTTATACATATACACATACATACACACTACGTTCCCCTCCCGGTGGGCCCAGGTTTTGCTCTTGTCTCAGCAATTTCGTTGAAGGGCAAATTAGATGCTGCAGATATCGGGTGCCTTCGTTCCTTAAGTTTTCTGCGCATGGGTTGCAGGTGTTGCAGGTGTTTCTCAGGCTGGCAGTTTGGAGCTTTCAATTTCGAAGCTGTAGATGGAAGCCGGACGCGGTCGTGGTCCGCGTCCGCAGCTCAGACAACGGTCAGCCTTCTTAAATGAGGAGGCGCTTCTTGTGCAAGCCGAGACCTCAGGAACACTTGCAGTGTTTACCCTCATACTTCTTGGTCAGCGCCACCCCTTCTTCGCAAATCTTGAATCGTCTAATTACTGGATCAGAAACGGCTCCATGCGCTCGACCAACTTGCAAGTCTACTAAGCGCACACAGCTTCTTCCCTCCCAATGTCCAAAGTGACTTCGAAGTAGACGAAGATAGTGTTTAAGAAATGTCGTTTGTGCAACTTCGATTCCTGAATCCCGAGAAATGCGGATTCAAAGTAACAAGACCGCAAATGAGATTCAAAATCTGAGAATTATCTAGCAATCTTATGTCCAGCACACTGACTCCTGAAAGACACATGATATTCATAAATATGTATACATTTATATGTATATGCGCGCACCATATATATATATATATATGTTTGCTACTCTAACCCATGACCATTGAACAGAGGCTGACAACACTGCACCATACGCATGTAGAGTCTATATATTGCACCACTTACTGTAAAAGGTACAAAACACTGCACATACCAGTGAATTCTCAAGGAAGGTAGATCCATGGGGGGAAGGGGGTACCATATCTATAATATATAGTATATATGCAATATATTGTTTTTGTTTCCATTGGAGGGGGCTGACAACACAGCACAATATATATATATATATATGTAGAGTCTATATGCTAATATGTTGTTTTTGTTTCCAGGCGTCGCGTTCTTCGAGGTTTCAACATCGTGATCAATACCTTAGTGGCGCCCTGCACCCTGGGGGAGCAGCTGACGAATCGGCGTCTTGCCAGCGCCGGGGTGGTCTTCGTGACCGCCACCCTGTGCCTTCGCATCCGAAAAGACTCGAAGCAGAGGCCCCTGAAAGTGTGACCTGCTTTTTCTGTTTGAGTTTTCTTTTCTTTTGCGGGGGGGGGGGTCACTAAGAACCAACTCTAAGAACCAACTCTAAGAACCAGCTGGTTTCAACTGTTTTCTTTTGGGGGGGTCACTAAGAGCCAACTCTAAGAACCAACTCTAAGAACCAGCTGGTTTCAACTGTTTTCTTTTGGGGGGTCACTAAGAACCAACTCTAAGAACCAACTCTAAGAACCAGCTGGTTTCAACTGTTTTCTTTTGGGGGGGGTCACTAAGAACCAACTCTAAGAACCAACTCTAAGAACCAACTCTAAGAACCAACTCTAAGAACCAACTCTAAGAACCAACTGGTTTCAACTGTTTTCTTTTGCGGGGGTCACTAAGAACCAACTCTAAGAACCAACTCTAAGAACCAGCTGGTTTCAACTGTTTTCTTTTGGGGGGGTCACTAAGAACCAACTCTAAGAACCAACTCTAAGAACCAACTGGTTTCAACTGTTTTCTTTTGGGGGGGTCACTAAGAACCAACTCTAAGAACCAACTCTAAGAACCAGCTGGTTTCAACTGTTATCTTTTGGGGGGTCACTAAGAACCAACTCTAAGAACCAACTCTAAGAACCAGCTGGTTTCAACTGTTTTCTTTTGGGGGGGGTCACTAAGAACCAACTCTAAGAACCAACTCTAAGAACCAACTCTAAGAACCAACTCTAAGAACCAACTCTAAGAACCAACTCTAAGAACCAACTGGTTTCAACTGTTTTCTTTTGCGGGGGTCACTAAGAACCAACTCTAAGAACCAACTCTAAGAACCAGCTTTTGGGGGGTCACTAAGAACCAACTCTAAGAACCAACTCTAAGAACCAACTCTAAGAACCAACTGGTTTCAACTGTGTTTTTTTTGGGGGGGTCACTAAGAACCAACTGGTTTCGGCTCTTCCTTTTTGTTTTTTTGGGGGGGTCACTAAGAAGCAACTGGTTTCAACTGTTGTTTTTGTGTGTTTCTTGTTTTGGCGGGGGGAGGGGGTCCTGAAACCAACCGGTTCACCGTTTGTTGTTTTTTTTTGTTTGGGGGGAGGGGTCTCTAAAAACAGCCATGCTTGTTTGTTTTGTGTATTGTTATTGGCGTCTTGTGTGTGTTCGTTTATTTCCCCCGTTTTGTTTGCTGGGGGCGTGTTCCCTTTCCCTCCCCTCCCCAGAGACTAAGCTAACTTTTTAAGAGTTGCTCTGGCCCTCAGTTTTGGTGGGTTTTCAATCATACTTGCCCTTGAAGGGTGGTTTTCAACATCACCTTTTGAGCCGATTTGTTTGCAAACTTCCTTTCGGTCGGATGACTTTTCCCACTTCAACACGTGCCTAATGTTGAATTCGCATGAGCGAGCAAACCCGTCTTCTCAATAGGGGGCGTTCCCTGCAAAAGGGTCTGAACCCCACGAAAAGGGGCCCCCGTCTCTCAAAAGCGCCCAGGATTTGGGTCGAAGGAATCTCCAAGGTTCCCACTGGACCACGGGCCTTCCGGCGGAAGGATTCGGCCGTTCGCGGATCGCCCTCAGCGCCATTCCTTTCAGCCGGGAAAGGGGCCCCTCCCACAAACGCAGACCGCCGCATGGACACCATGAAACTACTTGGCTCAAAGTGACTGAGCGGCCACTTGCTGGATGGAAACTTTCTCCCTGAAGCCAACCCAAGTTGCGTGCTTCATTTTCCTGGGCAGGCTTTTTCACAGGGAAATAGTGCGTCGCCTGAAAAAGGGGCCAATCAAGAAAATAACCCCCCTCCCAAATTGTTCAGTTCGTAGGTGTCTTAAAAAGAGCTTTAGCAACAAGTTGTCCATGGTGCAGAGTTCTCCCCCGATTGTTAGTTCGTAGGTGTTCAAAGGAAAGCAGCAACAACTTGCTCCCCTTCTTTTCTTTTGTTAGGTGCTTTATACGCAGAGCCGCAATATCCATGGTCAATTCCTTTTTTGGGGGGGTTGACACCATCCCCTTACAAGGTGTGAGGCAGTTGCGAGGCCCTTCATTCGGCTTTCTTCGGGTTCTCATCAAAATGGTCGAACCCCCAAAATTGGGGTTCCACTATGTTGCTTGTACCACACTGGTTGCATTCTTCGGAGTTTGCCTTTGGTTACCTCGTTGCAGCTCTGATCCATCCAGGTCCATTCTCTTCAAGAACACTCACCCGGAAGAGTGGACGCTGGAGAAGGCCGCGGAATTTCAGGGGCACTAGGAACTAGCAGCAGGAGGTCTCTCCCTTGAACACCTCGTGACCCAGCTGCGAACATTATTCTTGGGCAGGATCAACCTTCACTCACCCCGCCGACCCCATGTTTTTTTGCCGGAAACGGGGAAGAGTTAATACTTTTGTCTCCCGCCACCGTGTTTGGCAGTTTTGACCTTGAAAGATGTGTGGCCTTTTTCTTACAGATTTCATTTTGCATACATGGTTTTTAGCCGTTTCACCTTTTGGGCCGTTTTGGAGGCTTCCCTCAAAATGGGGTGCTGTTGAATGAGACGTATAGCCCACTTGCCCAAGGCGAGTCGACCTTTCAACCTAGCAGTTTCTCCTTTTTCTTGTGACCCCAACAGGTGATCACCTTTTAATTTCTTCCTGGGTCCTTACGGATAGGGAATCCTCAGTCTGACCCAGCACTGGTGGTTGCGCAAAGGGATTGGAAAACCGCCCCTAAGCAGCAAACCACCGATCCAAGCCACCGACTGAATTCGTAAAGTGAGAAAATCGGATAAAACCCACCAACCACCAGACCTGGTGCTGTCCCAAAGAAAGCCGAATCCAGGGGTGCCAAAGTACATACCCCTTTTAGATACCTGGACAAATGAACCGCTGAGAGGCCTGCTGATGTTCATACCCCTCTCCCAAAAGGGGTATATACCCTTTATAAAGTGGGTTGGAAACCCCGGAAGCCAAGGGGCATCAACAAGGTGTGCTTCCGCCCTTGGACCCAAGGACCTCTTTTTTACGATGCCAGGCCGAGGCCACACTGGGGCGGCTACGCGTGATGGTTTACGGGCTCTGCTGCTGGGATCATGAGAAAAAGTAACGCCCTGGAAAGTACCCATGTCAAAAACTGTCCATGAAAATCCATGTTCCCTACAGAAAAACCGAAACATGGATAAGGTAGATTTCTAAGAACAGCTACAGTAAGTCAGAATCAAGACCCGGTATTAAAATGGTCGTATGAAGAAGGCGGAATTCCGCAGCTGTTTGTGGCAAGGGGATTGTCCTTTACTACCCTTCATCTACCCGGGTTTTGATTGTGGCTCACATGGGCGTGTGCCTGCTTTTGAGGGTACCCATTTTGAGGGTTGGTTTTGAGGGAAACCAACGGAAAACCGTTGCGCCATTCTGAAAGTTCCTTTATTTTGGTTGTTTGAAGGGAAACTTCCATTGGCCTAAGAATACTATTTGTATGTTAAATTACCTTGTTCGTTTTGAGGGGAACCTATCACTACTGGAAATGTTTCCCTCCTTTCCAGGGGTCTGAGGCAATTGGAGGAACATCGTGGTTTAGAGGGAACAAGCCCCAAAAGTAAACCCTTGACATGTTCTACGGTAAAGTAATCTCAGAGCATTTTTTGCAGTTTCGGAGGGTCCCTCAAATATGCAAGACACACTCATGATGATTCATGGGAGTACCCCTTTTCGTCAAGTGTCATATTTGTCGGACGATTTGTTTGCATTTCGTATCAATATACCAAGGGACTCCTCCACAAAACTGTGGTTTCCTCTTGGTTTCCCTTTAAACCAAGCCCTGAAAGGGTGCCCTCAAACACAACAACTCACACCGCAGACCTATCCATCCAAGGCTTTGCTGGTTGGTTTCTGGTGAACGTTCGCGTCTTGGGGCACTACCCCCACGGCTCGGTGATTCGTGGTTTTTCTCTGGGCGCAACGGCGGGCTCGCTGGCGGGGAACATGTGGTGTACCAGAGTGGCGGCGGTATTCGCGGCGGACTGCTTTAGCGGCAGCTGCGAGGCAAAGGTTTGTTCGACCCCAGACTACACCCGTTATATGTTCCCTTCCAAAGCCATGAGGCTCCACTAAGAAGGGGGCATCCCCCTATTTCTCAACCAGGGGTTGATTAACGTATTCCGGGCTAGCATAAATACGTCTTCCAAAACTGAAGTTTGAGAACATTTCGAGTCGGCGAGCTTTTTACTTTTGTGTTCTTGTTTTCGTTTACTCTGAACTCTTAACAAACAAAGAGTTTGGTTTTCTGAGCAGAGGGATCCCTGGAAGCTCCCATTAGGAATGGTAGGTTCTCCCTTCTGGGCAGAGGTCCCTATTTCAGACACCCCTGCCGTGGGTAGCGAGCCCGTTTATCCTGTTGTTCTTGGCAGCTTCCCTTCAAGATCAACTACCAAAAACAGAGTGCCCAGTTGTTCCATCCCCCCTACTTCGCCAGAATTAGCTCCCCTTTTTGTTTTTGTTGTTTGCTTTTTTAGGGGTCCCTTTGTTTTCCACTAACCAGTCAAAAAAGATAATGTTTTGCTGTGGTCCTAATTCCAGCCTAGTCTAGGCGTCTGGGATTCAAGCATCCAAATCTAATTCCCGTGTCCGGTTTGAGCATGAGCGTTTGTGCCACCAGATGAGTCTCCTCGTGATGTTGAAGGGAATAAAGGCGTTTCAAAATTGGGCACCTTCGTATGGTTTAACAGCTTAACCTAAAGGAAACCAACTGACTACCTGGAAGGGTACCTACCTCAGGGGTCACTGGATCTTTATTGGGTTCTATCAAAACTGCCACTTTTGGCGGGTTCAGAAAGGGAAATGTAGGAAACCCTGTAATTTTTAATCGCCCAACATCGGAAGCAAGTTGAAGCGTAGAAGGGTGTACTCCAAAACCATCTTTTACTTACAGGTAGGCCAACATATGACGCCTTTATATTTTGAGGTAGGCAGAATATGAAACTTTGATACTTAAATATGGGACTTTAATCAAAGGAAGCTTAGAAGGAACTTCCGTGTTACGGCAACTCATTGAAAGCTAGCTCTCTGAGACAGATGACAAGAGAAGGAATAAGCCCACGAGAAAATATGCGTGTGCGTGTGGTGGGAGAATAGAAATGTGCAAGAAGCATGGCCCTGTGCGTGAATTGGCGTCTCCGGAGAGCTGAAAGCTAGCCTGTTCGCGGCGACTGGCCGGACCAGTCTCGGACCACGTTCGGAGCGCATTGGCACGGCAACGCAAAGGTTTCGCAGGTTTTGAATTCCGTGGCAGGCGCAGTACTTTTGCAAGGTCAGGTACATATTGCGTGGCAGGCGCAACACTTTCGCAAGGTCAAGTTTTCTTGAGGTTTCAATTGCGTGGTAGGCGCAGCACTTTCGCAAGGTGATTTATAGCTTTCGTGGCAGGCGCCGCACTTTCGCAAAGTTTTCCCAAGGATCCAATTGCGTGGCAGGCGCAGCATTTTCGCAAGGTCAACTGCAGATTTCGTGGCAGGCGCGGCACTTTCGTAAGGTCAATTGTAGATTTCGTGGCAGCGGCAGCCTTTTCGCAAGGTCGAGTAGAGATCTCGTGACAGGGGCAGCACTTTTGCAAGGTCAAGTTCACAGATTTCGTGACAGGGGCAGCACTTTCGCAAGGTCAAGCTGAGATTTCGTGGCAGGGGCAGCACTTTCGCAAGGTCAAGTACAGGTTTTGTGGCAGGCGCAGCACTTTCGCAAGGTCAAGTACAGATTTCGTGACAGGGGCATCACTTTCGCAAGGTCAAGGACAGATTTCGTGGCAGGGGCAGCACTTTCGCAAGTTCAGGTACAGATAGATTGATAGATAGACAAAATAGAAAGAGAGATAGATAGATAGACAGATAGATAGATCGATAGATAGATAGATCCAGGGTTGTGGGTTTCCTGTGATGCAAGTGTGAAGATACAACGCATAGTAAATCAGGGGCCGGGAGCCCACAGTCAGGTTGCATTGTTGAATTCGTGGTTCTCCAACTGTCAATTGTTGTGTTTGTAGGGAAGTGGGCAGGAAACATTTTGGCCATGTTTTTCGGGATTGGGGAAGTAGATGCCAAATTGTGGAAAATAACCTGTACACTTCCAAGACGACAGCGGGAATCCAAACAGATAGCAAACGAGCACAGTCGGTGCGCCGACTTTTTTGGGGGAAATTGTTCTTCAGAAGGTGTGTGAGAGGATTAACTTGTGGAGCTTCCTGTGCGATAGCTTGAGGATTGGCGGGCTCTAGTTTGCAGATTTTCCCTTGCACACGATTGCAGTGTTTTTGGCGCCTAATTTGCCAAATTTGCTACAGATTAGCTTGCGGAGATGATTGGGCGGCACTTTGCGGAATTTCGATCATCTGTGAACTTGCAAGGTTGTTGGCATCTTTCGTAGGGATTGTTGGGGTCCAGCTTGCGCACAGTCCTTGGAGCATGCAGGTTTGATTCTGGCTTCTGCCATGTCCCACAAGCTGGTTTGAAGAGATTCTTGCATGGTCGCTTGTGGGAATTGTCGAGCGGAATCTCTTGCGCTTTAGCTTGCAGGGATTGTTGGGCTCTGGCTTGCAGAATTTCCTTCGCGGAAGCTTCTGGGGAATGTTGAACTTCACTTTGCGGATTTTCCGCTCGCAAGCTTGCAGGCGTTGTTGCATAGTGTTTAGTTTGGGCAATTTCTATGGGCTAGCTGGCCAGAGTGGTTGAGTTTTGGCTTGCCTGCCTTGCTGGGCTTTCTGTGCGATCGCTTGCAGGGATTGTTGGAGTCAATCTTTGCGCAGCTTCCTGTTTGTGAGCCTGCCTGCGGAAATGTTTGCTGTTAGCTTGCAGGGATTTGGGGGATCTAGCTTGCACAATTTCCTGAGCATTGCCATGCAGAGGTTGTTTGGGAGTCTAGCTTGTGGAATTCCTGTACTGCCCAGCAATCTGCAAGAGCTAATGCGACCAAAATAGCTCTGCGAATAAGCCCTGCCAGCTCACGAGGATAGACCCCAACAATCCCTGTAGCAACGCGCTAAAAACTCCAAAAGCTAGTGGGGAATGCCTGCAAACTTGCACCCGGAATCAACAATGTCTGCAAGCTCACTGTACGGACCCCGTCATCCTTGGGTCCTTCAAAGGCGAAGTTTATAAAAGGTTTTGCCTACAGCAACCACCCGTTGAGCATGCCCCCTCCGCAAATCGGAAGGGAACATCGCGTACATCGCGTGATTCGCGTTCGCCTCTTCTGTGGCATTCGCGCTCTTCAGTCCCACATGCAACTTGTTTTGTGAACAAACGGTGCTGCAGGTACATGTGTGGATAAAAACTATATGTTGTTGATTTGTGTGACTGATTCCTGTTGTCTCCAACAGCACAAGGGTTTCTTTTGCGAGTAGCTTTTGCCAACCTACAACCTGTGTCCTGAAGAGTGATCCCCCTTTCACTTGAAAAAAAAAGCTGGCCCAACCCGCATTTGCTAGAGTCTGATGTGGTCGCTTTGCCGGCCGCGCTGCTGTTGCTGCAAGGCAACTGTCATCTGTGTTGGTCGAGTCAAGGTTGGGTTGGGTCCGTTTGGTTTAGGGGAGCTTCTGGACAGTGCGACAAGCCTGTGCAGGGAGGCCTTTCAGGGTGAAGTGGTGGGTCGCGTGGGTCGCAGCCAATACTTTCTGCAGTTGAGGGTGACATTTGGCACACTCACCACAAGGGAGAAGGACAGTTAATTACTACTTGAGCAGCGTGCAAAGCCCATTGACTATCGGTCGGACCTACCAGAAGGTTTGTGTAGGCCTTCTTCTCACATGCATGAGACCAGGTTTGTGTGTTCCACTTAGTCTGCTCAAAAGGATGTGGGCTTCTAGGTGAAAACGCCTAAATCCAATCTTGGCGGTCTGGCTGTTAGCTTGGGTGCATATTGGAATCTCACCACCAAATCCAACTTGGCGGTCCCCAACTCCAGCTTGCTGAGGGGTTCCAGCCAAAGGCCCAGCCTATAGAATCAGCGGCAGGGTGCAAGCCACTCGAGTTTTGACAAGCGTGCAGCGGGGGACGCCGACACCGAGACATGAGCCGTTTCAAGGCTTCTTCCCAGTTCCCTTTTGGGCGGCTTTGCTCGGCTTGCGGTGGCCGAGTTCAAGCGAGTTTCCTTGAGGGGTGATGCTTCAGGCAGAGGCATGTCGTGTCCTACTTTTGTGGAACCAGACCCCCTGCCCCCTTTTAGTGAATTCGCCATTTGGAAGGCACAGCCGGAGTTTAAGCTACGGATTGCTCCAAATATGTTCGTGGTCTAGTCAAAATCCTGTTTTGAGACCCAATCCATGTGTAAAAACTTGCGCACTGAAAAATATCCTTTGTGTTTTGTGTTTCGGGCTTGTTACGATCTTGACTGCCCAGTTTGACCGTCAGCCTACGTTAAATAAAGTATTGGTCCATGGTCCATGGTAAATGGTTGGTTAGAACCGTTTTGGGTCGGTTTGGCAACGTTTCAACTAACCAAACTCACCCAGCGCACCCCCTCCTCGAGGCTTTCCTAGTTAAGAACTCCTGGCCCTCGGATTAACATCAGCTTCAGCACCCTTTTTACATGTAACCAAAGCGGCGGGTTCGCAAAAACGACCTTGCTCGCAGACCTTTTCGCCCTCCCAAACCCTTCAACGCCGGGGTCCCAGCGTCTGCGTGGATCTATCACTACGGGGGAAAAAGTGACAGCCCCGCCAAACAGGCGCCGAGCGGCATGGAGAAGCCCTACTTGAGATTTGTGATGCGGATTAGCCACAAAATGGTGTATATATATATATATACGTATATATCGCTTTGGGCCCTTCTTTTTACACGTCGTTGTTTCCACATTCTCTTTGCTCTTACAAGCCCATTTTCCTGGCCCGCAGATCTGGAGGCGGCTGGGTAATTAAAAGGTGCGTCTGGGTAAAGGTGAACCACTCTCGACGAAACCCCAACTTCAAAGCCATCAGCTCATCGAGGGAATCACCCCCCAAAAGAAGAAACTCGTCCCACAGTCTCCTAAATTCGTTTGAGGCCAACGCAGCTGATAAA